AGTACTGGACTTATAGTACTGAGCCAAATCAGAAGTAATCGCCCCCTCCAGTGATGGAGTCTGTAGTCCTAGAGGAGAAAGACGTTATTCAAATACTCTCCCAAATAAATATACAATTACAGATGTAATAAGCGCTGAGAGGCTTTTTAATTGGAGACATTAATGTAGTCAAGGGTGTCAGGGAAAGCTTCTCCGAGGAAGAGATGATGGAGATGCTAAGTGGTAAAGTGGAGAAGTGGAAAAAAGAGCAAGCATTATAAGGAGCAGGCGCCAGAGAAGAAGCTTTCTAGGCCAAGGAAAAGCATGTGCCAAAGCCAAAGCCAAACCCTGGCACATTGGCTTGGCACTCACCAAGAGTGCTGTGTGTGAGTCCATGTTTGCGTGCTAGAGACAAGCAGACATGCCAATCTATTTACAGAGATGGGGGGACAGAGCTAGAGGCAGAAAGGAAGGGAGAAAAAAGAACACAGAGTTTCATGCCCTCATGGAGCTATTGTGAGAGAGAGAGAAGTCATTAATAATAATAATAATAATAATAATAATAATAATAATAATAATAATAATAATAATAAACTAGATTGAAAAGAAATCCGGACACAGAGAGAAGATGAGGACTGTTCCCTGAAGGCAGGGACCAAGAGTGGCTAGAGGATCACAGCAAATGATTGTGATCGGAGAGAAGGCTGGAAAGGCAGCAAAGAGCCACGAGGTAAGATGTTACAGGTCACACTAAGGAGCCTGCCCAATATCTAAGAGCAGTGGAAAGCCATCAAGGTAGTTAGCAGGACAAGACATCTGCTCTCTGTAAGGGAATCTCTGACTCCAGTGTTGTGATCAAAATAGAGAAGAGCCCTGGAGGATACCCAGAAGCCAGCTGCAAGGTTGTGGCAGCAGTACAGAGAATGGCAGCCTGGATGGGCAGCAGCGAAATGGCAGACAGGTGGCCAGAAGGAGACATGTTTAGATGTCATAGCATAGAGCTGGTGATGAACTAAATGTGAGACTGTGGCAAGGATAATGTGGATCTCTGACGTGAATAACCAGCTAGATGGTGAGGTTCTGGAACAGGACTAGAATTCCCTTACTTCAAAAAGCCTTTAGAAATTGCAGTCTATATTAATTTTTTCCACCCCCCCCCCAAACACACACATTCATTCTCTCTCTCTCTCGTGGATT